CAGCTTCTGTGTCCCGAGCCACTTGCTGTGCGTGTGATGAGGCAGGCGGGCCATGCGCCGAGCTGGCCAGCAAACCCTAAGCGTCTATCGGGGGCACCTGGCTCCCAGGGCCACAAGTCTGGGTCTGGAACCACGGTTCTGCCCAGACAGTGAGCCTTTCTAAACACGACCTAATTATTTCCTCTTGCTTCTGAGAGGCTGAGTATACGAAGGGAGAGTGGCTAGGCTGTGTGTGAAAAGAGCTGTGACCCACACAGCAGTATCTGCCAGGGGCGCAGCCCTTGACCCAATTCACCCTGGAGCCGGCCTGCACCAGCCAGGCCTGGGGGAAGCCAGGGCTGTGCCCGCAACCTGCAGGAAGCTGTTAACGACTGCTGGGAGAGTCGGCTCCAAACGCCAAGCGGGAGTGATCAACACAGGAACCACTTCCTCAGCCCTACCCATTTCCAATATCATATCGACCAGAGGGGGCCAAACCAGCTGTCCAGTTCCCCACCTGCAGCCTGACAGCCTTGGCCCAGCCTGGACACCTGCCTCACCTCCCCGGCACCTGGCCCAGCCCAGCCCTGACTCAGCTGCTCAGCACTGTCACCGAGTCCTCGCACCTTGGGCTCTCTGGCACGCGGTCCCCACCCTTGAGGCTGTGGTTCGCAATGCAAGTACAGGGGCCCCTGTGACTCCTTCCTACACACGGCCTCAAGCAGGGCTCCTGGTGTGTAGCCTGTGCTCAGTGGACATGACTGATGGATGGAGCATGGACTCCACTTCTCCCCAAGCAGCTGCCCTCCAGGCCGGCTGGGGGCGCTGGTTTCAGACAGGAGCTCTTCTTCCCCAGGCCTTAGTCCCTTTCTCTGCGCCCTCCCCACATGCCTCTCTGAGGGCGAGGGAGGCGCTGGAAGGAGGACAGACATGCTCGCTTGCCTTGCTGGGGGGAATCAGAAAGGCTGCGGGGAAAGTGGGGAAAGCCGAGGGACCCTTCAGAGGCCCTTTCCCCACCTCACCCACAGTTGCAGACAGAGGAGGAAGCACCGAGCATATGCGTTAACCATTAACACCCGGGTGAAAGCTGTGCAGAGGCACCCTCATGTAGCCCCCAAGTTCACGCCCCTTGGGTTGTTAAGAAATCACACGTCTCATGAACACCACAGACACGTATTCCCTGAATACCGTCTCCCCAGTGGCTGCTGCCCTTTGCAAGGCTTTACCTAGTGTCACCTACGTCACACCCAGTGTCAATCAGACGGTGCTGCAGCTCCGCTACTGACAGGTCGGCCTCCCGCTTCCTGGTCCATCCCCAGTGGGCAGTGGCAGGGACCACGGCCCTACTGGGCATCTCAAAGCGGGGAGGGGCTGTTCCTCTACAGCTCCAAGCGCCAGGCACGGGGTGGAATCCTGCCCTCTTTACTCTGTGTGGCTGGCAGTGCTCTAGGGCCCCGTTGCTCCCTGGCCCGTCCCTGCACCCTCCAGTGCACTGCTCTGTCCACCCAGGCCACAGAGCCGCAGCAGATTCATCCCAGCTCAACTCTCCATGGCTGCGCCAGCAAAGGCACCCACCTCTAATACCTGAGCTCCACTTGGTCGGAGGCAGGAGGCCATGGACCTGAGCAGCCAGGGTAAGCAGTATCCTACCCACGCAGGACCGGGGAGGGGACAGCAGGGTTGGGGCCCTTTCCTGCCTGTTCCCCTACGGTCCACAGACACAGCAGGGCCTGCCACGTGCTGCCAGCTCACCAGGTCCCTTTGAACCAGGCCAGGCCTCCGTGAGTCCCTGAGTCGCTGCGGGGCAGGCTCATATGAGCACGGGTTCCAGCTCTGGTTTGAGGCTCGAGAGCTGCATCAGCAGGAAAAGTCAAGGCAATTGCCTGTGGACTCTCCCTTTAAACACTTGTATTTGTGAACTGTTTAGGAATGAGGCAGCTTCTCATTCCAGCCCCGTAAATCTGCATCATAAAAACAATTGCCCCTCCCCGTCTGTCAATCTTTCCCCTATCAGCGGGTATTAAACGACTGACCCAGGAGCAAGGACACTGCTGACATGCAGGGAGGGGCCTCGGCTCGCCCCCAGCTCTGTGTATTGAACACTGAGGACCTGGTGGCTTTCGGGGGTCACATTCTAAGCGGGCTGTTATTCTCTGCCCTGGGGACTAAAGGCACGTCCAGGGGAAGCCCCTTCCAGGGCCTGGCGCTGTTTCTGAATTAGTAAAGATAAAATAGTCTGTTTTTTAAAATATGATTCACTAAACTATGTGGGGCTATTTTCTCCAGCATGGTAATTAAACCTTTTGCTAATTCTTACAATTTAGACATTTTATGTATCTGAACTCTCATATAATTATATTCTCATTCTTAGAGCAAATTCACTTCTGTTTTTGCTAAATTTTCTTTTTCAAGCCAACCAGAAATCACAAAAGCTTTCTAAAGACGCAGAGGTCAGCTGTGCCATTTGTAACCTGGGCGGGACGGGCTGAGCCCGGCTCCTCCCACCTCAGGGCCCCTCCCAGTCTCTCCCAGGGACAGGCTGCAGCCTGCCCCGAAGGGTTTGCTGCTGACTTCTCTTCACCTGAGCGGTTACACCCACGTCTGCCTGGCAGAACTGTGCTGGAGCAGAAGCTCGTCGGGTAGACAAATGCTTCCCTGCGGAATGTCACAGCGAGTCCTCGTGTCGGAGCACCCTGCCCGCCCATCTGCTCAGGGGCTTGAGCTGGCTTCTACCCCCGGTGTGCTGGCGTACAACCCCGTGTGTCAGAGTATTTTCCTCAAGTTGCTGCCGGCTGGTCCTGCCTGCCACAGACCGCCCAGCTGTGCTGATGCTGCCAGCTGTGTTTCCAGAGCCCTGGGACTCCTCGGGCTATGGGAGGCTGTGGTCTGGCCCAAGTCACCCCGCAGAGCCCAGGCAGACCAGGTCCCACTTTTCACACTGTCAATTTGCCGTTCAGTCTGCATCCTAAGCAATGGTCAACTTCAGCCCCGTGGGGAGGCTCCTTGGCCACAACTGTCACGGGCCTTCCCAGGGTTACTCGGCCGGCACTGGGTGAAGACCAGGCAGACAGACCGGGGGAAGGGCTTGAAGACCCGAGGGGGACCCTGGAGGATTCACCCTGGACTCTTGGGGAAGCGGCTTGCTTGCTGGGTCCCCACAGTTAGACAGGGCGACTGAGAAGGGGCGAGGGTTCTTCGTCTGACTCATCTCCTGGCTCCTGACCCTTCTGGGCCCCGCCCTCCAATTCCTTGTAACTTACAGGCCTACCGAGAAGCCCTGCACGGGGTAGTGGGTGGGGCCCACGGGGTGTCTGATCACCCTGCTCTGTCTCCAGCAAGAATCCTTTGGGCCATTGAACTGAAATTCTCCTCACCCTGGACGCTTCCTGTTGCCCGCTTGTCCACTGCTGCTTTCAGAGGGGCCCCCACTTCAGGACTCCATTTCAGCGGCCCCTGCACCTACGTGGCAGTCCTGAGTGAAGGGCTCCTCAGTGTAGCTTGAATAATTTTTGCTTTGATGAGAAGCAAAAGAGAAAGAGAGGGAAAGAAGGGGGTGGGCGAAGAGAGCAGTACTGAGACAGAGGCGGGGTGGCCAGCTGTGGGCGAACTATGTACACTGTCAGACCGCTGAGGACTTTCTGCCCATGGCTGTGTTGAGCTGCCTGGTCCTCAGGGTAGTTTGTATGAGGTCCTCAGGGGTGGAGTGCACGGGTGATGGTGGCGCAGTGGAATCTGAGTGGTAGGAAAGAAGCTGGCTCTCTGAGGACAGGTGCTATCCCAGGGGCCGGGCAGCCCACACCTGGTGCTTTTCCCTGCTACACTGATTGTGTCTGGGCTCGGCCAGGGGCATGGAGCCTGAGGTCCCAGCCTGTGACACGGGACACACTTCATCGTCCTGCCGTTGGGTGAAAAGCCCGTCCTTCCCTCAAAGCTTCGTGACAGTGAGATGCCGCAGGAGGCCGTTACGTGCAGGGAACGGCAGGCCCTACACTGCATAGTCCTGTGGGGACGAGGCTAGGAAACTGTGTGGACATGAATGGGGCCCGGAGCTGGGTGAGGCCAGGACTATGCAGTCGGGTCCAGGGGCCTCAGGGGCTACTGCCGCCATTCCCCATTCCCTTGGGAGCCACCCATTCTGTACAGCATCCCGCAGGACATGTTCTACAGGAAAACCCCCAGTCAGGAGTGGGCTTGAATATGCCTTTAGATTTCAAGGCAGCATTTTTAAAAGCACAGGGAGGACAGAAGACAGAGGCCTCTGGGGTCTGCAATCCCAGGGAAGCAGGCGAGAAGTCTGCGCAGACAGTGGAATGTTTGCGCTCCAGTCTGCCCTGGCCCTTCGACGTGTTTGCTTTTCGGGGTGGTTTGCACAGGAAGCCCCTGCATTCTCTTTCCTTTCAGAAGCCTCTGAGCAGCTCCTCTCCCAGGAGAGGCCCACGCCTTTGTTCTCAAATGTTAATCAGTTTTTAAATCTCCTAACTGCATCCTGCCCCAGCTCCTTCTTACAGGAATAGTGAGCACCTGGCACCAAACCTACTAGTATTTTCAGCTCATTTTTTTTTTTTTTTTACTGTCTTTTGTCCCCAAGTTCCTGGGCTCCAGAACTGCAAGGACTTGGGTGCTGCCCACTTCTTCTTTGCCAGCAGCACTTTGAACGGCTTCTGAATCAGCCAGGGTGAGCTGCTGACCGGGCTGAAACGCAACACCCACCACACCGCTGAGCCGAGAACCCCACCATCTTTCTCCTTGAAAAGTTAAGCAAAATTTTCTTTGGAAAAGCAAAACACAACAAACCAAAAAAACCCCACCAACAACAACAAAGAAGGTTATTTTTGCAAAACACTTTTATGCCCAACTTACCCACACTGGAACCCAAGTTTAGACTCCACTCCCCAAAGAGGCTCCCACCTACAGGCCAGCGCCCACGGGAGGGGGCGGAGGAGGGCGCAAGCACCCACTGCAGCTGCGCAGAGCAGGCAGGGAGGCGGATGAAGGAGAAGGAACACTTTTACTTGAAAAAGTCATGGCATAATTTGGATGTTTATTCACACTGAGAACTTAACATGGAGCTCAAATTCAATCCAGTTTCCAGGAGCCAAGGGTGTCGCTAAGATAATGCTTTGGGAAGAAATGGCTTCACAATATCAGGAAACAACACAGCCCCTAACCCTGCCCCGGCACCCCCAGCTGAAGGAGAAGCTTGGTGCTGAGTGGCTTATGCAGTCCAAAAGGTCAAAGTTCTCTGCACATCGCTGCTGGGGAGGGAATATGGCCCACCACGCTGCAGGGTCAGAGCCCACAGATGGCTCACGACACGAACTTCGGAAGCTAAAGCATGCGGGCAAGGTGCCGCGCAAACCCACACCTGCCCCTCGCACTGGCGTGGCATCCCGGCTCGCGCAGCAGCCTCACACCATGGTCATGACCTTCAGTGCCGCTGGCTGGAACCTGCGGATCTTTTTCTTCAGGGCCTTGGAGGCCTTGATGCGGCACAGTCTGGGCACGGGAGGCAGAGGGGGTCTGCTGCCGGCTGGGGCCCGGGAGAGCTGCTGGGGGGCTGCTTGAGGACACGCCTGCTCTCCCCGGCCGGCCACCGCCCGGTCTGGCTCCAGGCGGCTGCTCCTGCCCTGGACGCTGCTTTCTGAGTCACTGCCGCTGGACTCCCCGTCCCCGAAGCGGCTGGCAGTGTGGTCGCTGGCTGCCTCCTCCTCACTGCTCTCGGCGATGGTGGAGTGGAAGAGGGAAGAGCACTCAGCTGAGTGCTCGGAGAGGTCGGACTCGCTCCTGGCCTCCTGACGGACCAGCACGGGTCTGTCCTGGGCCTGCGGGCCACTTGCCCTCCTGGCTGCAGGTCTGGTGGGCTCAGCACCGCTGGCTGGGCAGGGCTTGCCCGAGATCTCCACGCTGGACTTCCAGGGGCGCTGCTTCCTCCTCGCAGCTGAGCTGAGCGGGGCTGCGTCAGCGGGGAACAGGGCCTGGGATGATGCCTGGTAGCCCTGCTGCTGGGCCACCACCAGGGGGATGAGGAAGGGCATGGGGTAGAGGGTGGACTCTGAGCAGGACCGTCCTGGGGCCTCCCCGGCCAGTGAGGGCCTCCTCTGGAGCCCACGCCCTTGGGGCCTGTGCCACAGGTCCCACTCTGGGGCCAGTTGGGGTGCTGCGTGGACACCTTGGTGTCTCTTGGGGAGGGGCGGTGGATGCCTCCCAGACCGGGGTGCCTTGTCACTGGCCCTCCTCCTGATCTTCACGGCCTTGGTCTTGGGGATTGCTGTCCTCAGCCTGGACAGGGAGGCTTCACCAGCAGCACAAGGCAGATGGACAGAGGACCCGAGGGCTCGTGGGGGGCTCTCACGGCCCACACTCCTGGGGGCGGCCAGGATGCAGCTGCTATGGGGCTGCTGGGCCTGGGGGCAGGGAGGAGGGCCCACAGCTGTCTTGCCACTGGCACAGGGATTCCAGGGGTTAGGCCCCTCCTCTGAGGGGCTGCTAGAGGGTGGGGTGTCCATGAGGGGTGTGGGTCCCTGCTGCCTGAAGCCATCCCCCTGCCCAGCCTGGCTTGAAGCTCTCACTCCCAGGCTCCCTCTCCCTGGGGCGTGGGCCAGCTTCTCGGGCTGGCCTCCACTGCCCTGTTCCTGGTCCCCTGGCTTCCGTGGGAAAGGAAACACTTCATGTCCTGAGGGTCCCTGCTCCCCAAAGACACCCCCCTGGGCGGCCTCTAGGCCCCGCAGGCGCAGCAGCCTGTCAATGTAGGCTCTAGGTTGGCCCACTTCACAGATGGGCACTACCAGGGATGTCCTCTGATCCCTGGGGACCAAGAGCAGCTTCCTGGGGGATGAGTGGCTGGGCCGCCAGGGGCTCTCCTTGGCCAGCGTAAATAGTGGGCTCTGCAGGGCCACTGCGTGCAGTGGGCTGGGGTATGGGTACACTTCCCGGCCCCCCCTGGACACGAGGTCACGCTGGTAGGTGGGGTCCACCATGTGGGCCGGGCCGTCGGTCCCCTGGCAGAGGAGGGAGGCGGGTACAGCATCTGCGCCCATACTCTGGAGCCCCTCGTCCACTGGAAGGACCCTCTCAAGGTCACCTGAGAAGGAAAACCAACACTTCAGCAAGGGAAGCATTCACATGGGGTGAGCTCCTCCCCGGGGCCCGTGTGCGAAGCTCAGGAGCAAGGGGACAGCAGGTCAGCCACTGCAGCCACGGCACCTGGGGCACCTCGGGGTGTGGGCAGGTGAGTGCGGGCACCTCAGCAGGAGCAGGAGGACGAGTTAACTGGGTGCTACGTTGCATCTGCTCCGAGGCTGCCCAGAGATGCAGCTCTGCAGCCCACTGAGTTCCAGACAGAGGTCAGAGAGGTGAGGACATAACCCTGCTGGGTGGTCCGCAGGGATCTGAGAGCAATCTCTGGGACGCTACAGGAGAGAGGTTCGCACTAACACTGCTCTTCTATTATAAATGGAGTGAGGACCAAATGACCTCTTAAGGAGGAATGTGGCTATATCCCCACAGGCCACTCTGCTACAAGTGTGGGTTGGTCAAGGGATGTGGAAGGCTCCTAAAACCGATCTCTATTTCACATAATAAGAAAACTCCACCCCCGTCCATCATGTGTAGGACAGGGCATCTGGCTGCTTCTCTGTCTGCAGACAGCTCCACATGGGGTCTGCTCCGTCCCAGCATGGCTGGATGGCTGCCCTCTGTCACCCCCTAGCCCCTCTCCTGCCTCTCTCTCACCTGTGGACACTGGCCTAGGCCGGAACACACCCCGGGGCCGGCCTGCGCCTGCCTCACTGTCCAGGCACCTGCTACCCTCCTCGGCAGGCTGGGGTGTCCATTGCGGCACGGTGCTCTCATCAGCAGATCGGGGCCGCCAGTCACCCATGCCGGGCCTGGGCTTGCAGGGATGGCAGGCAGGCAGCAGACTGCTCAGGGATGGGGCGAGGTGGTCACTGCATACAGAGGCACAGGAGGTGGACAGAGAGCAGGAACCAGCATCACTCAGCTCGTAGAATCCTGGAAAGCAGACACGGGCAGGTGGGTGCACACCCTGGGGACCCTGCCCTGAGGCCTGAGTGCCTCTCTGCCCCTCTGCCTGTCCAGGCCCAGGAAGGGTGGGGAGGACCTTCCCAGCGCCTGCATGGCCCCGGGGTTCAGAACCCCCTGCCCTGCACCATGGCCAGTTCCTGGCCAGGGGTCCCACACCCAGAGAAAGGAGAGGCCTCTCCTCTGGTCCTGGCCCCTGCAACAGCCTCAGGCATCTTCCTCCTCCTGCCGTCCTTCCTGTTCTTCCCTCCTGTGGGAAGGGAGGTCCCCCCGCCCCACCTTGTGCGCACATCCTAGGCCAGACCCGCAGCAGGAGGAGCAGCAGACATCCCTGCAGGCTTGGGCCACACAGGGCTACCACGGGCTGTCTCTGCCAGTGAGCACAGGGGCTTCTGTGTCCAGCGGCCACGTGGGGAAGGTCAGGCGGACAGCACAGGTGACCAGGGTCACACATGACAGCAGTGACTGTGGCCTTCCAGGCAGACTGAGGGAGGAGGGGCATCCTTATCAGCCTTTCTCAAACCCATGGGTTTAAGCACAGGTATGTTCTGTGGCTGCGGAATGGATGGCCACACTCTTCACGAAACGTAAACAGACCAGTCAAACTGTCTCGGCTCTGAAAGAAGTGAGAAACTCACCGGAGCTTTTATCCCCTCCAAAAGCAATACTTTTCCAGTGCGTGTGTGTGTGTGTGTGTGTGTGTGTGTATGTGTGTGCGCGCGCGCGTGTGCATGCGTGTGCACCCAGTGGATAGATGCAGACGCTGCACCCCGGCTGTACCTGAGCTGGGCCTGCTGTCGCTGTCTGGGCCCTCTCCTGATGCCCTGCACATGCCCAGCTGCAGCTCACTTATCTGCAGGTCCAGCTGGTCCAGGTGGGTCTTGAGGCCGGCGTCCTGCCGCCGTAACCGGGACTGAGGAGGCAAGAGAGAGAAACGAAACTGATGGAAGCGTAGAAATCCAAGCTCAAGGCCCCGAGGGAGAGAAGACACACGAGGTGACCCGAACCTGGGGGACGCACACCTTCCTAGCCGGCCGTGCACCTCACGTAGGCCGAAGTGCTGCCCTGCTCTACCGGCACAGAAGGAAAAAGTCCACTCGCCCCGCCCCACCCCACATGCACACCACACAGACGTTTTTTCTCTTTTTCCTCCAATGCAAACTTTTGAAACTTAGCAGTTTCCAAGGAGACACTGCTTTATCGGGATGCAGGATGTGACAGTTTGTACAACTGCACAGTGAAAAGCAGAACCCGACACCGGCAGCAGGCGCCGCCACTGACGTTTTCACCCGTTTCGCTTCCTTTCAGCCCGAGGTGAGGATTTACAGGGTGTCACTGTGCCCTTCACACAGCAGACCTCGGGTGGTGGCCCCTGGGGAGGGTGAGCCCTTGCCCTCCAGTGGAAAATTTTGGGGAGACTGCAAGGCCACTTCTGCGACTGAGTTCTCTTTTCCGATCCAGAGTAATTTCATTTTTTTTCCCTCACTGGGTATGCAACCTAGGACCTCATTCATGCCACAGGGAAGAGCCTGGCCATGAAGCTGTACCTGCAACCCTTGAGTAATTTCCTGAATGGCCACAGGTTTTGCTGAAGCTGCTAAGAAGATCTCTCTCAGCAAGCATCAGAGGCCTGCAAGTCAGAGTATATCACAGTGAATACTTCTGAAACCCACTGGGGGGGGTCTCCTTGTTTTGTGGGAGGGTCTCCTTATTTGAGAGGACCCATCACAGGTCTGCCCTGGGCCACTTCTTCTTTAGGGCTTGGAGCTGCGACTCTAGAGGGGTTATTTTGAGCGCCAGCTACAAAAGCTTGTGTGTCTATCATCTACCTATCATGAACATCATAACATACACATCCTTTATATATACGTGTATCTATGGACACATGTATGTGTGTACCTCTGTCCACGAACTTAATTCATCCTGTGATTCTGAAAAAGATGGCCACATTCATGTTCACGCAGGGAAGATGGCTGCGTTCATACTCATTACCCCATGCAGAGATCACCATCAAAAACAAAACTTTGCTAAACGCTTCTGTTTACAAACTACGTTGTTCACAAGTAAAAGTGTCCGTGAACCAAGGCAGCACTGTCTATGTCTAAAACGAGCCCTGAGCCTTCAGTAAATGCTGATTGCTTTCTTACGTTTATACAGCTGCACCTTGTTTTCCAGATGCACTATATACATTTGTTGTTCCCACTAAGGAGTTTAAGGCGAATAATTAATGAATGGAATTATGTGACTCATCCTGTTGAAGAAAATGATTCCATTTCTAATGGGAAATTACCGCAATAATTTCAGTAGCATAGCAGTTACCATCAGAGAGACGTGAGTAATAACAACTTCCTGTTTGTAGGAGTCTCTTCTGTACGGTTCTCGTCTAACACCCGAGCTGAGCTGAACTGGACCTGGCCAGCGTGCAGCCAAACGCCCTGCCCCACTCAGCAGCTCCTCCCGCAGCGCGGGGCCCTGGAACAACCTGGAGATCTGAATGGTGACACAGTAGCAAAGCCAGGATGATGCTGGAAACATGCACGGAGCAAAACCAGTTCTGAGCTAAACGAAGCTTCACGCTCGTGGCGCTGCCAGATGGTTCCAAGGGTCCTGGCTTCCTACCTTGCCCACGTTCACATTTCCACTCTCAACCAAAGAAGCCCAGCTCTCACAGACAGGCACTCAGCCTGCCTACCATGCACGCAAAACAAAAGCGGAAACGAAAAAGATACCGTAATTCACCAAAGGGCCGGTCTCTGTACTTTTCTACAAGCGATTTTTTTTCTCCTGTCACAAAACTATGAGACACAGAGAAAGTTCAGTTCCTTTGTCGGTCCTCCCCTGAGTGCTTACAGCCGTCTCTGACTTCTCTTCCAAAGCATGCCCTTCCCTTTCTCCCCGGGTCCCCAGCTGCCTTCTTTCTCTCTCCTACACCCCTGCCCAAGCCCTGCCCAGTGTGTGTGTTGGGGTTCACTGCTCCGCGATTAACGTCTGCCCAGCCAGCCTCGGGGATGGTTTCTGATTAACTGTGAACAGGGGCCCCCAGGCCCGGGTTCTCCCCGCTGTTTCCTCACATCCTCAGCCCCTCCCGTCCGCAGCTCCCCCGTTACGCCGTCCTCCTGACCCTTCCCACCATCCCTGTTTCCGCCGCCCTTTCTCAGTAAGGGTCTTTGCGCAGAGTCTCAGTGACCAAGGAGGAGCATGGCCCACAGCAGGCCGGGCGTGGGGCCCGGCTCCTCTAGTCCACCTGGCCAGTTTCCCCAGAGGGCCTGGGGGACACCTCGGCTCCGCCTCCCGCTGCCAGCCTCGGCCCACTGCAGGGCACAGGTTCTCACTGGGGGGTTGAGGGACCCCAGGGCAGTTGGTTAATTTTCCAAACTGGGTCAAGGGGTGGGGCCTGGTGTGTGGGAGCACTCACACCAAGGTCCCTGGTCCCTTGCAGACCCTGGGCTCAGGCCCTGGGACACTCTGGGCAAGACCGGGACCCTGCGTGCCAGCCAGCTTCCCAGGGAAAGACTAGAAGTGTGAAGTGTCAGAAGACTGGAACTAACTGCTAACACACCTCCTCACTTGAGAATTCCTGCAGGAGAAAGCTGCAAAGGACTCCACTACGCGTTCTTCCAGTCTTCACACTTCCAGTCTTCTGACACCAGAAAGTCTGAGAGCCTCTGTTCTTGGGGTGGGCACCAAAGGCAAGCATGTGGGTAACCCCTTTCTTTGAAATGGTTCTATTGCACAGAACGCTTTGATTTGCATATGCTTTGCTTCCCCAACTGACAATTCTGAATTGCCACCAAGCAAGAGCTTTATGGCACAGTCAGAGGGCAAAAATTAAAAGTACCTTAAAGTTCAGGATACAGAGATAGTATCTAAAACACTTCCTTCTTTTCCTTGAAAGCTAAGAAGGCACAAAGGAAGCATTTTATGCATGAATGACTTACTCTGTAGGAGGCATCGGTATACCTAAGTTAACTGGGAAGGGGCTGGTGCTCTCCCATTGGACCCTTGGGTGACAAGCCCCACTAACCTCAGAGAAAGCCTGCTGGGGGCCTGTGGATGCCTGGGCCTTGCTCCCGAACCTGACCTAGCTCTTAACCTGCTTTCCTCCGCTCTCTGTGTGTTTACAAAGCCAGCACAGCCCGCCAAGGAAAATACTAGGCATCGTGTTTACAGCTGCAGAATCAGTGTGTGGCTTGCTCTTCCAGGGCTTACTGCTGCGTCCTGCCCGAGTGGAAAGGCATTGTTGCTAGCCGCCCCTTTTTAGAGCAAGTCACAACCAGCCAGGCCGAGGACTGGGAAAGTCCCCCGCTTAAGATTTCACTGCACCCCCTGCCCTTTGCTTTGCTTGCTGCCCACCCAAGGGCACCTCTTCCATAGACACAGTAGCACCTGCGGTGGAAGATGCAGCTTTCAGGCCACCCTTGGGCAGGGCGCCGGTGGGTGGGTGACGTCTCTTGCCCTGTGTACAAAAGGAAGAGGCACAAGGCGCCTCCCGCAGGTCTGCACAGCCACTTCTGGCCACAGCTGGCCAGACTGTAGCTGACTGCTGGGTTTGGCGGACACAAGTATTCTTTAGCGTAGAAATCATCTCTCCCTTGTGCTGGCAATCAAAGTCACTGATTTAGTTCTTCAGCAAAGCCCTACTAAGCACCTACTGCTGTACTCCCTTGGCGACTTCTGACACCGCACTTTGCAGGGTGTGGCCCATGTGAAGAGCAGGCTCTTTTTCACGTGACAGGCAAATCCCGCAGAATGCTAACACACCTCCTCACTTGAGAATTCCTGCAGGAGAAAGCTGCAAAGGACTCCACTACGCGTTCTTCCAGTCTTCACACCTGCAGGAGGACGCAGGCCTGGAAGGCTGGGGAGGGCAGCACTGGGGGCTACCCAGGGACTGGTGTACCTACGCTAGACCAGAGCCTGCGGATGGCTTTCTTCATTACAGACCTCACGTCACTCCTAAGTTTTCCCCTGCATGAAAAATGGGAGTATTAAGTGCTGGGTGATGTCAATTCAATTATTGTTCTCTTTTGATCACATAATCCTTTCCAAGAACAAAGTTTCAAGACAAAGTCTGCCTGTTCCTTCTGGTCCCACACTTAAAAAAAAAATTTTTTTTTTTAAACAAAAACCTGTTTGATCTCTCCCAAAAGGCAACTCATAATGTAATTAGAAGCTGAGTGTGCTTAGTATATTGCTGCAGCTAAGTTAGTCATCAGCTGCGTCCTGACCCCTAGACAGAGCGGTTCACAAGTGTTATACACCTGCGGACTGCATGCGCCTGGCTGAGGTCACGCAGACGCCCAGAGAGGCCGGATGAAATCTCTGCGCAGTGGACACATCTCTTCCAGCTCTTCCTCACCCATGGGAGGTTAGGCAGGACCCAAGCAGGGCTGGCCCCTGCTCCAGGGTGGCACAGAACCCACAGACCTGCTGCCCGGGCCACCATGCTCAGGCAGGCTACCCCCATCTCTGCAACAGGGGAGACAGGAAGGGTCCAGGAGGTGTCTCCAGACCACGACTTCCCAGTTCCTTAACCCTGAAGTATTTGCCCAGGTGAGGGCCTGCTGAGCTAAGCTGACAGGAATGCTCACAGCCTCACGGAGACTTATTAGGCACTTGTGAATGACGCGACTTTTAACAGGGCAGATGGGAATTCCTAATGGAAAAGAAATTCCACTCGGTAACAGAATTGACTCAGAGAGACATCTGTAGCATTTCTGTTTTTCTTTTCGAAACACTGCAGCACTGAAAAAACTCTTTTGAGCTGTTCCCTGAGAGCAACACGAAATCATACACGGCAGAAACAACCAGTTTAGTAACAACCCCAGTACATTTTCAATGCTATGGAAGGGAACTGGACCCCAGAGGGCCGAGGGCAGAGACCCAGGGCAGACAGCGCGTCTGGGCCCCCATCGCAGCCCCCATTCAGACTAGAAGACAGCTTCTTACACAACAGTTCACCGGCCGGAGCGGGAGAACCCGCGGATACCCACGTCCCTGAGTATTTGCTCAGAGGCGCTACCGCTTCAGCGAACGGCCCAGCGGGTCCAGGTGCGCGCCCCACGCGGACGTGCGCTCCCGGACCCAGCACGGTGCCGGGGCTCGCGGTCCCAGAGGTGAGGCCGGACTGGCGGGCGGATTCCCGCCAGGGGAAGTCAAGGCAAGGCGTCCCCATCAGAACCGCAGGGTCGCAGTCAAAACCAGAGCCGCCAGTAACCTGCCGGCCCGAGCACAAACCCGCATGGGCTGCTCTGGAGTCGGGGCCCGATCGGGAACGGATCGGGGCTGGAATCCGGCCCATGACCCTCGCGCACCTCCCGCCCCCCGCGCACGGCCTGCGCGCCGCTCCCCGCGCCCCG